GGGGATGGTTGGGGAAGCAGAAGGCGTGGTCGGAATGATGATTGAAAGAGATATTGAACCTAATACCGTTACATACACTTCACTTATGGATGGTTTCTGTTTGCGAGGAGAAATGGGCAAGGCGAAAAAGATTTTTGGACTAATGCTTAGCAAGGGCTCGATGGTTAATGTTGTTAGTTACAACACATTGATAAATGGATATTGTAAGCATAAAATGATGGATGAGGCCATGACGCTTCTTCGGGAAATGTCTCGTAAGGGACTAGTTCCAAATACTGTTACTTATAACACTCTTGTGGATGGTTGTTGCAAAGTGGGGAAATTAGGTGATGCACAAAAGTTGTTCTCTGAGATGCAAGCTTGTGGCCAACTTCCAAATGTTCAAACTTATGCTATTCTACTGGATGGCCTGTGTAAAAACCGAAAACTTTCTACCGCAATCCAACTGTTTAAAGAGATGGAAGGCAAGAAGTTGGATGTAAATATTGTGATTTACACTATTCTTATTGAAGGTTTGTGCATAGCTGAAAAAATTGAATCTGCAAAGGAACTCTTTTGCAGTTTGTCATCAAGAGGGCTTCAACCGGATGTAAGGACATATAACATAATGATTAATGGACTCTGTATTGGGGGCCGAACTAGTGAAGCAGAAAAGCTGCTTATCGAAATGGAAGAGAAAGGTTGTTCTCCAGATGGTTGGACCTACAACGTAATTATTCGAGGGTTTATCAATAACAATGAGACAGTAAGGGTGAGAGGACTTATTCAACAAATGGTGGAGAAGGGTTTCTCGGCAGATGCATGGACTACAGAATTGATAGTTGAACTATTGGGTAAAGATAAAGTAGATCCTGCATTGTTGCCATTGATGCAAAAAGAGAATTATGAACTGAATTTGCCTCAGTTAAAGTTGAACAGATCTTCTGACCATCCCAATAAACATTGAAGCTCTTCCACCTCTGGCAACCGTGGATGTGTTATATCTGTTATCTCTTAATCCATCATGTGACACTGTTGAGTAGTAGATATAACTTTACCGATAATCGTAACATCTTTATTGTTTTGTGTTTTTGTACGCATGTCTTTTTTAGTTTCTTTCACACAAACATTGTGCAATTGACTGACTCTGCATGTTTTTGTTATTTTGCGGTATACAGACTTGGTTATATAAAGACATCATTGGGGGATATCCTGTGATCATGATAGAGAAATTTCTATGTTACTCTTTTAAGGTTGTTAAATTTATTAGAGAGAAGCAGGGTATTTGGACTGATATAATCAGATTTTTCAGCTGACCAAGACTTTGCAGTTTGGGCAAAAACCAACCAGCCTTTGATTAAGGGGCATTCTACAACTTCTTTTCAATTTTTTTGATTTGTAATAATTTTGTGAAGGACATGGTGAAATTTGCTAACCCTTGATTGGGTCTGAATGCTCGTTTGTGAGTGATTTAAGATGGGGCAAAATCATTTATGACCAGAAGCACCTGAAACTTGCTTATTGAAGTGATTATAAGGAGAACTGCATATATATATCCACCTGTATCAACCCCCACCATGATGAGCCTCAAACAAGACTAAATTTCTATTCTACATTTCCTGATAGAATCAATATATATGCGAAAATACTGCACCTTCAATGTATAACACACTCCTTGACTTGGAACGACAAGGCGATCTGATGCCTGCAAAACATATCAATTTTCTACTCTGTCAGAAACCCACAGGACGGATGCCAAAGTACAGCAAATGTATACATGAAACCTCAGAATATATTATATTTTAACATTTCAAGGTTAAAGGGTGCCAGTTTCGGTATCTGAAGTTATCACCCTCATGCTTCTTGACTGAAAGGCTTTGAATTTAAACTATCTAATGTAAGCCTTCCGTCTATCAGAAAGATGTACATTTTCGTTTTTTCCCCCCAATATAGAGCATATCACTTGATAACATGGAAAGACAAAAGTCAAAAGAAATTAGGGTTACATCTTCTATTGATGTAACTGTTAAGCTCAAGATCCCTATTTCAGATTACTTGTTACAAAGGAGAAAAGACATCTTTATATGACAATGAACTTTCAACTTATATTCTTTTTTCTTCATTTGTGTCCTTTAATTAAGTCAAAAAGAGAATGTGAGGTGCTGCCTCATTTTTTTCACTCCTTTCACATAAAGATTAAAACAACTTTAGAGAATTCTTTTGTTTTTTCTTTAACATTTTAGTTTTTTTATGTATTGCTTTTGCTTTCTGTTTTAACTTCTCTCATCTTCATCGTTCATTTTTCCCATATCTTTCCCTTTATGCCTTTAACTAAATAATAACAATGTGCTACCGGAGAAGCTTGGTAGCTAAATGAACTTGTGCTTATGCTATTTATAGTGGCCCAACTCAGCCCAATTGGGCCATTATCATCAACTTGGGGCTTAGCCTGAGAACCCATAATTTTTTTTTAGTAACAAGTATTTTATGTATTAATGAAATACAATACGGAGTGGGTTCTATAAAGGTGTCCTTCAAATAAAAGACCATTTAACTAAAGCTCTCTCTCTCTCTCTCTATATATATATATCCTGAAAGTATTTTATGTACAGTACAGTATTGTACATAAATTGTAGCTATAGTTTATAAATCCTGAAGAGAAGTTGAGTAAATAAATTAACCTAATTATATAAAAAGAATCATAAGTTCCTAAATCCGAAAAAAAAAAAAAATAGCACATCAAAATAGGTGTGAAATAATTTCATTGATCATACTTTATTGGGCCTAGGCCTCCTTTTTTGGGTTAAACTCTACGGCTTAATACTTCATAAAATGTTCATTGTTTTCGTAGTCGCTTAAAGGAAAGTAATTGACTAATGCTAAGTAGTAAATTAATAAATCTTGTTGGCCTCTTTTTTCAATAAATAATAAATTGTGTTAGTATATATATAATTGTAAAAAATAAATAATAATAAAGTTTTTTAAAAAATGCAATACATAATTCAAATTTGGCATGGGTCCATATCGGCCCCTTTAGTGGCCGAGCATGAGGACGGTCCAATCCCATATGGGCTTGGAATGTGGGCTAGGAACATAATTGATTATTTTCATAAATGGACGGATCTGGCATGACCCATTTATGAAATAGACCGACTCTAAATGAGTAGAGTTGAGCTGACACGATTCGTTTGACAACTCTACAAAAATTGCATTAGCAAACGATAACTTTTTTAGTCGTTGATGCTAAGTGCTTAGGTTTTTTCTTTTAATCACCTGCTATGCGAGTTTGGCAAAAGTGACATGAAATGCATTAGCAATCACATTTAAGTAGATTTCTATCGTTCTAGGAAATCTTAAAGTTTTCTTCTTCTTTTTTTTTTTTTTTTGCGCAAATGTATTTGTCATGGAAATTGATTTGTGTCCACGTATACTATAGGTTTTTTTCTTTTCTTTTAATCACATGTTATGCAAGTTCTAATATATTTTTATTATTTAGACACTTTTTTTTTTCTTTTCTTAAAGGCTTATCCAAGGTACAAAATTGTGTATATCAAAAGTATAGGTCTCACTCATATCTAGAAGAAAAATAATAATCATAAGCACAATAGTTTATGTTAGACACAAAAATAAAAACGAATTGTCATTTGTATCACAATTTCAGCAGAAATTAACCTAGAATGATAAAAAGAAAAAATTATAATGAAATCTCTGGCCTTAGAATGAGAAGGCCGAGTGAATTTCAATATGCTATGCTAGCAGCTAAAAAAGAACCGAACTGCAACCCTAACTTACAAAAACATATTAGTTCAAGGAAACTAGTTGGAGGGAGGTTTGAGCTTCATTCCCAACCCTCTTTGCTCTCTTTCACTCACCGATGCTGAAGATGATGACACGGACTACAACTGCTGCTACTTCTTCTTCTTCTTATTGCTGGAGCAGCAGAGGTATGAATTGTCTTCACTCTAACTCCACTTTTCTCGTTTTCGTCACCAATTACTTTGCTTTCTTTCATTCTCAACCTTCGAAACCGATCAAATCTACAAGAACCCAACTAGAGCAGCCAAAAAGAGACTTACCCAAAATCACAAATGTTGAGGATGCCTTCAATGTGTTCGATAGAATGCTTCAAATGCGCCCTCTGCCCTCTGTTGTCCGTTTCAATAAAATCTTGGGTCAAGTTGCAAAATTGAAACATTACTCTGCCGTCATCTCATTATATAACCAAATGGGTGTGTCGAGAATTGGACATGATGTTTATACCCTAACCATTCTCATAAATTGTTATTGTCATCTGAATCAAATGGGGTTTAGTTTATCTGTATTGGGAAAATTCTTCAAACTTGGTCTTGAACCTGATGTCTTTACCTTCACCACTCTAATAAATGGCTTTCTTCTCGAGAATAAAGTGGCGGAGGCGGCAGGAATTTTCAACAAAATCATTGCCGGAGTTAATTGTCAGCCTGATGTGGTTACTTATGGCACACTAGTAAAGGGCTTTTGCATGAAAGGTAACAATAGGGCTGCTATTCTGTTGCTTAGGAAGATGGAGGAAGGAGCTTGCAAGCCTGACCTAGTTGTCTATAACACAATCATCGACAGTCTTTGTAAGGATACACTAGTTGATGATGCATTGAACCTCTTCTCAGAAATGATTTGCAAGGGTATTGCCCCAGATGTCATTACCTATAACTCTTTGATTCATGGAGTTTGCAAATTAGGCGAGTGGAAAGAAGCTGCAAGGTTGTTGAATGAAATGGTGAGTAAAAATATCTATCCAAATGTTCGCACGTTTAGTGTCTTGATAGACACACTTTGTAAGGAGGGGATGGTTGGGGAAGCAGAAGGCGTGGTCAAAATGATGATTGAAAGAGATATTGAACCTAATACTGTTACATACACTTCACTTATGGATGGTTTCTGTTTGCGAGGAGAAATGAGCAAGGCTAGAAAAGTTTTTAAACTAATGCTTAGCAAGGGCTCGATGGTTAATGTTGTTAGTTACAACACATTGATAAATGGATATTGTAAGCATAAGATGATGGATGAGGCCATGATGCTGCTTCGGGAAATGTCTCGTAAGGGACTGGTTCCAGATATCGTTACTTATAGCACACTTGTGGATGGTTGTTGCAAAGTGGGGAAATTAGGTGTTGCACAAAAGTTGTTCTCTGAGATGCAAGCTTGTGGCCAACTTCCAGATGTTCGAACTTATGCTATTCTACTGGATGGCCTGTGTAAAAACCGACAACTTTCTACAGCAATCCAACTGTTTAAAGAGATGGAAGGCAAGAAGTTGGATGTAAATATTGTGATTTACACTATTCTTATTGAAGGTTTGTGCATAGCTGAAAAAATTGAATCTGCAAAGGAACTCTTTATTGGTTATCATCAAAAGGACTCCAACCAAATGTGAGGACATATAACATAATGATTAATGGACTCTGTATTCGGGGCCTAACAAGTGAAGCAGAAAAGCTGCTTACTGAAATGGAAGAGAAAGGTTGTCCTCCAGATGATTGTACATATAACATAATTATTCGAGGGTTCATCAATAACAATGAGACAGTAAGGGTGACAGGACTTATTCAACAAATGGTGGAGAGGGGTTTCTCAGCAGATGCCTGGACTACAGCATTGATAGTTGATTTATTATCCAAAGGTAAAGTAGATCTCGCATTGTTGCCATTGAAGAAAAGAGAATTGTGAAGTTAACTGTCCTCTTTGAAAGTTGAAACAGATCATCTGATTATCATGGCAAACATTGAAATTGCAATTGGAAAGAATAATTGTCCATAAATTCCAGTTCGACTTAGCTCAACAGCCTGAAATCTTGCATAAGACTGTCGCAGTTGCAGTGACACAACAGGAGCAGCAATTGAAAGATCTGGAGGAGGATATGCAGTCCTTTGTATCTACCAAGGCAGATGTGCTCTATACAACCTAATTATTTGGCATGCTTTGGAAGGCTACTGAAGAACTTTGAAGAAGACTGGGAAAGCTTAATAACATGTATGGTTCTAGTATTAAGGCTCTGGATGGCATACTTGGGGACCTTAAAAGAAATTCTCAGTTAACTTTTTGTCATCTAAATTCATAAGTTTCTAGCGATTCTTCTGCTCTGGTAGATGGAATCATGGAAGTATTAGTTTACTGCTTTTTCAGTCTTCACGTTTCTTCTTGCTGTCTCTGTATTTGACTTTATTTCATTTGATTTCAAAGGAATCGCTTCAGAAGCTGATGCATTACTCTCAAAGTAGGCTCGTAATATATTGTTGCTTTCATGGTTACTTGTTTTATTGTGGGAGCAAAAATTAAGAACCAAGTAACAAAGCCCTAAATTTGAGGGAGTTGAGGGAATCAAATAACATGATATCCACTACCATAGAACATGGAGAAAAATAAGAGATATGGGATTTGGAGTCCTAGGGTTCATTACCTATAAGAGGCCAATTAATCATCCAGCAAAAAAAAAAGGGAGGTATAATTGATTCTACTGCAATATTCATGAACGAGAACTGACTTGAGCGTTGGAGTTTTTTCTTGCAAGTACCCCCTTCCTCCCTCATTGGCGGCAAGCGAAGGGTGTCCAGCTTCTCAACATGGAATACAAAATCACTTGTTAAAAGACCCAAAATATCATGCTTCAACATTTAGTTTCTTCAAGTGTAAAATTCAATCATGACTTTTTGGTGTAAAAAATTTGGTCTTCAATTTTGTATAGGCCCATGCTGGAGCCAATTTCTAAGTTACAGCAGACTTCTTCAACACTCTTGGCATGCATGCATTAAAGCCCATTTATTAAATTATATTTGTTCTAGAAACAATGATACATAATATTAGAATAATTATATCTTAAATTCAAGTTTATTTCTTTTGTCTAATAATATACTAGCCTCTCCGCGCCTGCGAGATGCTTTTTTTTTCTTCTATATTTTAAATTTATTTTAGAATTAAAAAAGATAATGGGTAGTTATGTTCCATAAAAATATGATCTATTATCTGATTTTTCTTTTAATTTTAAATTTTTTAATATGAAAAAGTGTGAATTTACTATATTTTCCTCATTTAATTAATAAATTCAATTCTTAATGTTTGCATTTTGAATCATTTCAATTCTTAATGTTTGTATTTTCTGGCATTTTGAATATTTCACAATTCTCTGTCTTTTGCTTTATATCTTGTCTAAATGGGTGCCAGGCGGGTCCCTTTTTTTGTAATAAACAGTATGGCCGCGCCACTATACTTGTATTTTTCAATAATAAAAACCTGTTACATTACAAACACTTGACAACACTGACAAAACTGAAATTAAACTTTAAATTTTGAAAGCTGAAATTAAACTGTAACATTAATAATTAGAAAACTGAAATTAAACTGTAAATACGGAAATTATCAAAAGAGAAAAGAACATTTAGAAAAGAACTAACTGATATACAACAAACAATAAATCTTGTTAGTATATATATATATATATATATATATTTGTAAAAAAACATTTAATAAAGTTGTAAAAAAAATGCAATACATAATTCAAATTTGGCGTGGGACCACATCGGCCCGTTTAGTGGCCTAGCACGAGGACAACCCGATCCCATATGGGCTTGGAATGTGGGCTCAGAACGAAATTGATGATTTTCATAAATGGACGGGTCCGGCATATCCCGTTTATAAAATAAACTGACTCTAGTTTTTTTAGTTGCTGGTGCTAAGTGAATAGGTTTTTTCTTTTAATCAACTGCTATGCGAGTTTGGCAAAAGTGACATAAAGTGCATTAGCAATCATATTTAAGTAGATTTCTATTGTTCTAGAAAAAAAAACATATTGAAGTAGACGGGAGAGTAATTTTAGCTGCACGTGTTAAGTGCATCTTAAAGTGTTTTTTTTTTTTTTTTTGCAAATGTATTTGTCAAGGAAATTGATTTGCGTCCATGTATACTATATATAGGTTTTTTTTTCTTTTCTTTTAATCACATAGTATTCAAGTTCTAATATTTCTTATTGAAGGTACAAAATTGTGTATATCAAAAGTATAGGTCTCACTCATATCTAGAAGAAAAATAATAATCATAAGCACAATAGTTTATGTTAGACACAAAAATAAAAACGAATTGTCATTTGTATCACAATTTCAGCAGAAATTAACCTAGAATGATAAAAAGAAAAAATTATAATGAAATCTCTGGCCTTAGAATGAGAAGGCCGAGTGAATTTCAATATGCTATGCTAGCAGCTAAAAAAGAACCGAACTGCAACCCTAACTTACAAAAACATATTAGTTCAAGGAAACTAGTTGGAGGGAGGTTTGAGCTTCATTCCCAACCCTCTTTGCTCTCTTTCACTCACCGATGCTGAAGATGATGACACGGACTACAACTGCTGCTACTTCTTCTTCTTCTTATTGCTGGAGCAGCAGAGGTATGAATTGTCTTCACTCTAACTCCACTTTTCTCGTTTTCGTCAACAATTACTTTGCTTTCTTTCACTCTCAACCTTCGAAACCGATCAAATCTACAAGAACCCAACTAGAGCAGCCAAAAAGAGACTTACCCAAAATCACAAATGTTGAGGATGCCTTCAATGTGTTCGATAGAATGCTTCAAATGCGCCCTCTGCCCTCTGTTGTCCGTTTCAATATAATCTTGGGTCAAGTTGCAAAATTGAAACATTACTCGGCCGTCATCTCATTGCATAACCAAATGGGTGTGTCGAGAATTGGACCTGATGTTTATACCCTAACCATTCTCATAAATTGTTATTGTCATCTAAACCAAATGGGGTTTAGTTTATCTGTATTGGGAAAATTCTTCAAACTTGGTCTTGAACCAAATGTCAGTACCTTCACCACTCTAATCAACGGCTTTCTTCTCGAGAATAGAGTGGCGGAGGCGGCAGGAATTTTCAACAAAATGATGAGGGGAGGTAATTGTCAGCCTGATGCTGTTACTTATGGCACGCTAGTAAAGGCCTTTTGCATGAAAGGTAACAATAGGGCTGCTATTCAGTTGCTTAGGAAGATGGAGGAAGGAGCTTGCAAGCCTGACCTAGTTGTCTATAGCACAATCATCGACAGTCTTTGCAAGGATACACTAGTTGATGATGCATTAAACCTCTTCTCAGAAATGATTTGCAAGGGTATTGCTCCAGATGTCATTACCTACAACTCTTTGATGAATGGAGTTTGCAAATTAGGTGAGTGGAAAGAAGCTAAAAGGTTGTTGAATGAAATGGTGAGTAAAAACGTCTTTCCAGATGTGTGCACGTTCAGTGTCTTGGTAGACACACTTTGTAAGGAGGGGATGGTTGGGGAATTTAGTGTCTTAATAGACACACTTTGTAAGGAGGGGATGGTTGGGGAAGCAGAAGGCGTGCTTGAAATGATGATTGAAAGGGATATTCAACCTAATATGGTTACGTACAGTTCACTCATGGATGGTTACTGTTTGCGAGGAGAAATGAGCAAGGCTAGAAAAGTTTTTAAACTAATGCTTAGCAAGGGATTGATGGTTGATGTTACTTGTTATAGCGCATTGATAAATGGATATTGTAAACATAAGATGATGGATGAGGCCATGATGCTACTTTAGGAAATGTCTCGTAAGGGACTGGTTCCAAATACTGTTACTTATAGCACTCTTGTAGATGGTTGTTGCAAAGTGGGGAAATTAGGTGATGCACAACGGTTGTTCTCAGAGATGCAAGCTTGTGGTCAACTTCCAAATGTTCAAACTTATGCTATTCTACTGGATGGCCTGTGTAAAAACCGACAACTTTCTACAGCAATCCAAGTGTTTAAAGAGATGGATGGCAAGAAGTTGGATGTAAATATTGTGATTTACAATATTCTTATTGAAGGTTTGTGCATAGCTGAAAAAATTGAATCTGCGAAGGAACTCTTTTGTAGTTTATCATCAAGAGGGCTTCAACCGAATGTAAGGACATATAACATAATTATTAATGGACTCTTTATTGGGGGCCGAACAAGTGAAGCAGAAAAGCTGCTTACTGAAATGGAAGAGAAAGGTTGTCCTCCAAATAATTGTACGTATAACATAATTATTCGAGGGTTTATCAATAACAATGAGACAGTAAGGGTGACAGGACTTATTCAACAAATGGTGGAGAAGGGTTTCTCAGCAGATGCATGGACTACAGAATTGATAGTTGAACTATTGGGTAAAGATAAAGTAGATCCTGCATTGTTGCCATTGATGCAAAAAGAGAATTATGAACTGAATTTGCCTCAGTTAAAGTTGAACAGATCTTCTGACCATCCCAATATACATTGAAGCTCTTCCACCTCTGGCAACCATGGATGTGTTTATCTGTGATCTCTTAATCCATCCTGTGACAATGTTGAGTAGTAGATATAACTTTACCGATAATCGTAACATCTTTGAAACAATGGGCTTGCGTTTTTGTACGCAGGTCTTTTTTAGTTTCTTTCACACAAACATTGTGCAATTGACTGACTCTGCATGTTTTTGTTATTTTGCGGTATACAGACTTGGTTATATAAAGACATCATTGGGGGATATCCTGTGATCATGATAGAGAAATTTCTATGTTACTCTTTTAAGGTTGTTAAATTTATTAGAGAGAAGCAGGGTATTTGGACTGATATAATCAGATTTTTCAGCTGACCAAGACTTTGCAGTTTCAGCAAAAACCAACCAGCCTTTGATTAAGGGGCATTCTACAACTTCTTTTCAATTTTTTTGATTTGTAATAATTTTGTGAAGGACATGGTGAAATTTGCTAACCCTTGATTGGGTCTGAATGCTCGTTTGTGAGTGATTTAAGATGGGGCAAAATCATTTATGACCAGAAGCACCTGAAACTTGCTTATTGAAGTGATTATAAGGAGAACTGCATATATATATCCACCTGTATCAACCCCCACCATGATGAGCCTCAAACAAGACTAAATTTCTATTCTACATTTCCTGACTACGGTTCTTTTATTCATCGGTCAATCAAATTTTTAGATGAAGCCAAATTTTAACCAAAGCTTCTATTAGCCAAAAAGCAAAGAATGGTTGGGAAACCTTGGAAATGGACACAAATATTGTTGATGGGCCAGGACATGGTTTTTGTCATCATGGAATTATTCATTTGGCCGTTAATAAATACGAGGTTCTCTCTCTAATGAAGAGAGTTTTTGGTCATTTTGCAAAACGAAAAGAAACCAAAGAAACCCCATGGATATATTATGCCTGCAATCTGAACCATATGCATAAACAACCCAAATATTG